CAATTGTACATGCACGTTTCTCCTTTCATAAATATTCATGACTTCTCCTATAGCTTGCTGCATATGTATATTTGGCCACCCTGCACAGCATAAATTTCTGTTCCCTTTGACCCTCCCTTGAAATGTCTGTTTCCAGTTTCTGGCTGGAAGGTATGCTTCCCAGCCTGGCAGAATAGCCACCCTGCAGGCTGCAACCTTTTATGAAAAATAAAACACCTTTCCAAATTTATGAATTCCTCATTCTTCAGTTGACACTACTTTGGTTTAACATACTGATTTCAATGGAGATCACCTTGGATATTAAAAGTAAAGTGTAGAAAGAATTGAGAAGAAGGGAAAGAAATAAATATCTAATTTTCGAGTATATAGTTGCATGCTTTTATTCTGGCAATAAGACATGATTAGACAAGCCTGATTTCTAATACTAAGTAACATTTCCCCCAGCCATTCTTATGATTTTCTTCTTTCTCATATAAAGTTTTCCACAGTGATAACATGTAAAACTATAATTAAATACACAGAAAAACAGTTCAATGGGCTGAAAATCTGCTGTCCTTAAGTTGTTGTGTTGTGTATGACAGTTTTGCAAATACTCTGGCTTTATAAACATGAGATCAATCACAAACTGCATATTCAGTTTTGAGAGAGTTCCTTCTAGTTCTGAAGCAATACTGTTAGCCCACAGTAGTGTCACTGGCAGGATATGTTAATGGCATACTGTGGTAGACAGGATATCAGGTGTTTTGGAAATATGGGGTCTGGATCTGGTTTTACTTATTATTGAAGGTAGATTTTAGATATTTTGATTTGTTAAGTAACTTCTTAGTCCATGTTTTTAAAATCACATTAAGTTGGTAACTGGACTGGCAGGCATCTGGAGGTGTCCAGTTCCATGGGAAAATTTGGCAAAACTTGGTTATGTCATTTCGTGATTTTGAGTACGGAAGGGAAGATGGAATTGGACAGGTAGGAAAGGAGAAGAAAAGTTGCCTAACATCATGAGAATGTGCATATCCCTCCTGCTACTAGTTCTATATGCTATTTCTACTTAGGTCTTTTTAGTAGAGAACATGCATGTAAAGCTGTTGACATAATACAAGGATAAGGCTACATATTCTGAATAGGATACAAATAGTCAACAATACCATCTTTCTTTCATTCTAAGATATTCTATTTAATTAATTTTCTTAGAAACTGTTAAGAATATTACATTAAATGAATAAATGAAGCATAAGGTATATTCTTATTTCGGAAATGTTAAAATGTAAAAAAAAAATGTTTTTTAGAATCCAAAACCTATGTTATTAATTCAGTGCCCTGCATTGTGTCAAATGATATGAGAATATAAGAAGCATAAAATCTACTTAAGTAGCTAAGACACAAACAATGAATCAAGCAGAAAAACACAAGGACTCATCTGGCTGGAATACTAAAAATCTGGCTAAACAACGTCAGACCTCAGAGAGCGAATTTTCTATAGGTTATATATAGTTGAAACTCTGTGATTAATGAAGAAAATGAAAATAATTTGAGGAGGAACTGGATAAACAAGAACTAAGAGAAAATATTTACATTAGAAAAGGTAGATTAAGAAACACCAACCTTCTGAAGTATCTTTCAACTTTCCTGTTTACATATTCTTTGACTTTAAAATTCAGAGTCTTTTTGACACATAACTTCAGAGAAAACAGTCCCTCAGCCTCACATTTATATTAGGAGAAAGATTTAGTTCCTCAAAGTCACATGGTGAGTCTAATAAGACAATCTGTAAAATATGTTAGTCTCCAGATCATCATTAAGGCATAGAAAATAAGATTTTAAAGAAGTATATTGAATAATAAAAACTCAATAGATACACACTGATATACACACAAACACATGCACATTCTCTCTCTCCCCACCCCCACCCCCTCTTTCTCGCTCTCTTTTTGTGAAAACTGATTAATTTTCAGGGCTTTCTGATATTTTATAACTATATGTCTACATATGTTTCTTTGGGGGATTAGGATATCTGGGAATCTCACATATGTTCTTGGGACACTGTATCTCAGCTGTAGTCTAAAGTGTTTCTATTTCTTTGTAACTTACACTTTAGAATTATAATTGATAAACAATTCAGCATATTGCTTAATGGTTTGGAAAATACACTTGGCAAGGCAACCAGGTGGCTGGATGTGGGAACAATCATGCTGCCAAATTAGTTCCATTTAAACTTTAAAAAAGAAATACCAAAGGCAATAAAATTTCACTGTTTATATTAGAAGTCACCTTTGAATTTTTCTGGTTTAGTCCAATAGAATTAAACTATTGGAGCCTCTGGAGGTGGGGTCTAGGTTTTGGTGTTGTAAGGAGCTGCGTAGTTGACTCTAAAGTATAGTCAGGATGGAGAAGAACTAATCTAGCTCAATCTTCTCCCTTGTGCAGGATTTTTTTTTTCTATAACATCCCTGATAAATGATCTTTTATTCTTTTGTTGTTGATATTGTATTGGCTTTTTAAAAAATGTCAATATGTTACATTATCCAAACTCAAAAAACTGCATCAAAAATAAAAACAAAAACAAAATAATATATATGTGATACTTTTGCTTAGAAATACTTTAGCTGAAATATGGCATCTAATGATTTTTAAGCTATTTCACTGAGTAAAGGGGCCTGAAATAAACTCTGGTTCTCATGGGAGGAGGACATAATATGTAACAGGTGTTTAAAGTTACTTTATTGATGTGTAATCTTTATATAATAAAAGTTACTAATTTTAAGTATACTATTTGATGAGTTTTGACAAGCAAATGCAGTCATATGCCCACTATACAAATCACGACAGAGGATATTTTTATAATTCCCCCAATTCTCTCTCTGCTCCTTTTGATATAGACAGGAGACAGGGAAATACTGGGTAGAAGAGGGCAGTTCCCTGGCAAAGGCCCCACCCTCAAGCCTGGAAACCCATGGCCCTAAGTGAAAACCGGCCCTCAATGAAAAAAGGCAAAAGTTGTCTTTTGGCCCACCACACCTCCTGTCGTGTACCCATATACACCCCAAACCCCAGGCTCCGTGAGGATACAAGAGGATGAACAGAAGAGCAGAAGAACAGCAGAGTGGTGCAGCAGAGAGACAAGAGGGTCTGTATGCTGGGGAGTTCGACTGGGAAAGTCACAGAGGAGATCAGCCTCTGGATGGCCAAACTCCAAGGGAAGATCATCTTCCCACTCCATCCCACTTCCAGCTTTCCATCCATCCTGCTGAGATCCACCTCCACCACTCAATAAAACCCCGGCATTCATCCTTCAAGTCTGTGTGTGACCTGATTCTTCCTGGATGCTGGACAAAGACATAGGTACCAAGAGGGCACTGGGTTGTTTAACACTTAGGCCATCTATGGAAAGCAAGCCTACAAGAGTGCACTGTAACACATGCCCACTTGGGCTTCAGGAGTCGCAGCCTCCCACCCCTGGATGCTGCCATGGGGCCGGAATCCAGGGGCACTCGCCCTGGCTCCTGCATGTCTACGTGCTCCCCAGCCCGTAAAGGATTTGAGCATGTATGTTGACCAAACAGATGAGCCACACCCCTGTCACATGTCCTGCGAGCGGGGTCAGGGAACTCTCCCGTTTTACTTTGTGTTATAGTTAGTTCCCTAGAATCTCTCCTGGCTCCTAGCAACCACTGATACACTTTCCATCGAATGGGCCTATGAAGCCCTCTGAGCCAGAAGTTTTCTTTGTAGGAGGGTGTTAAAAAGTTTGGCCTAATGTTGCCTCTGAACATATTTTTCGTATGCCTAAAGGTTTCTCTATAACCTAATAATGTGTAAACAGATTGTAGCCTACTCTTTTTTTTTGTTGAGACACAGTTTTGCTCTTGTTGCCTAGGCTGGAGTGCAGTGGTGCAATCTGAGCTCACTGCAATCTTTGCCTGCCAGGTTCAAGCAATTCTGCCTCAGCCTCCTGAGTAGCTGGGATTACAGGCATATACCACCATGCAGCTAATTTTTTTGTATTTTTAGTAGAAATGAGGTTTCATCACGTTGGCCAGGCTGGTCTTGAACTCCTGACCTCAGGTGATCCACCTGCCTCTGCCTCCCAAAGTGCTGGAATACAGGTATGAGTCACCACGCCCACTGTAACCTACTCTTGTAACAAGAGTAATGGAAACATAACTAACCACGTCCAGCCAACTGTTCAAAGCAGGTTCAAATAAGGCAGACATCCAGCTGCAACCAACCCAGCTGTTTCTGCATCTCACTTTTGTTTTCTATACATCACTTGCATTTTTTGGTCCATAAATATTACCAATATTATCAGACCATGTGGCAGCCCTGTAGTCTCTCTGAACCGATTCTGGGTCTGAGGGCTGCCTGATTCAGAAATTGTTTTTTGCTCAATTAAACTTTGTTTAATTTATCTAGAGTTTGTTTGCTTTTTTTTCCCCACAATTCTGTTATTTAATAGATATAGAGCTATTGACGTTATCTATTATCTCTTAAATTAGTTTTGGTAGTTTGTGTCTTTCAAATAATTTGTTCATTTCATGTAAGATATTGAATTTACAAGCATAAGATTGTTCATAACATTTTCTTATTATTTTTAAATGTCTGTATAAACTTTAGTGATGGTTTCTGTTTTATTCCTGACCTTGACAATTCATGTCTTTTCTCTCTTTCGTGTGTGTGTGTTAATAATTCTGATTAGAAGTTAGCAATTTTATTGATCTTTTCGAAGATCCATCTTTTGGTTCCAGTGGGTGTTCTGGGGAATAAAACAAGTTTCAATAAATTTAAAAGTATTGAAATGATAGTAGATCAGTGTTACGTATGGGAGATGTGAGAGGGGAGAAGAAAAGACACACACACAATACCTTTAGGGGTAAACAACCTTTATCCCACATAAATGGCAATGCAGATATAATAAGTAAACAATATAATAAGCAAATTGATATAATAAGCAAATTGCAATGGGAAGAGGAGAAGGGAAAAGATATGTATCTATTTATACTCACCAGACTACTGAGGATTCATTGCCAGACCGGGAAGCAACAGCCTGGGCTTTAGAGTTGGCCACTACACTCACCAGACTATGGAGGACTCATCGCCAGACCAGGAAGCAAGAACCTAGGCTCCAGAATCAGCTACTCATCTGTGCACAGACAGGAGAGGGCTCATGAAGCTTTGGTGCGATCTGGGACTCTAGCCCTTTTTGTAATGAGTTGTTTGGCACGAGACCCAGTATGAGGGCGCTTCGTGACTGAGCTCAAGGAACACAAAAAGGTCAACTTGTTTTTGCGATTGGCTGTTGTTTTCTAATAACTAATATATAGGAATAGATTGAAATAAAGATTTTTCCAAAACAGTGCTGGATGAATGCCTCAAGGGGCTCATGCAACCTGTTCTGGGGCTTGGTGACCATTGTTTGTGTCCACGTTCAACTGAGTTCAAATTTAATATTTAACGTTTCCTCCACAATTTGGAACACAAGTTCCCCTCCCTGTGTCCATGTGTTTTCCACCATAAAGGAATTAAACTAAAAAACAGTAACAGAAAATACCTTGAAAACACTCCAAAATAAACAACAAACTTTTCAATAATTCTTAGGTCAAAGAAGAAATCCCAAGGAACTTTTTAATGGAATGAAAATAAAAACACAACATATCAAAATGTGTTGGATATAGCTAAAGTAGTGCTTAGAAAAAATAAATAGCTTTAAATGCTTATATTAGAAAATGAGAAACACCAAGCTGATTATATAAATTTCAAACCAAACTGGAATAAGAAGTACAAATTCAACCCAGCATCAATAGAAGTGATACAGACAGGAGGCGAGGAAATAATGGGTCTATTGGAGCTTTTATGGGTAGAGGGTGGGGGTGTACTGTTGAAGTTTTTATGGGTACAGCTTGTGGGATGTATTGTGTATCATTGTTACACAGCAGTATAACAGTACATTGGTGTGTTCCATATACTCTTGGAAAAAATGTGTTTCATTCTGCTGTTGGGTAGAATAGAAATCCTTAAGAAAATATTAGCAAATCAAATCCAATAATATGTAAGTAGGATACTACACCATTAGAAAGTAGGGTTTCTTCCAGGAATGTAAGACGGGTTTAATATTCAAAAGTCAATCACTAGGTCAGGTTGGTTGATAATGTTGCTAAAGTCTCCTACATTTTAAATAAATTTCTGTCTGCCTATTCTGTCAATTACTGAGAAGTATTGAAATGTCCAACTTTATTTGTAGATTTTTCTATCTTTCCTTTCTATTCTACAAGTTTTTTTGGTTCATGTACTTTGAAATCTTGTTATTAGGTGTATACAGTTAAGATTTGTATGTTCTCTTCATGAATTGACACCTTTATCATTATGAATTTTTAAAAATCTCTGTTATATTTCTTTTTTGAAATCTAATTTGTATGTTGATATGGTCACTTCTGCTTTCCTTTGGTTAATGTTTTTGTGATATATCTTTTTCCATTTTCTTACATTAATTTTATCTATAAGTTAAGTTGATAGACAGCTTATAGTTGGGTCTTAATTTTTTAAAATTGTACTTTAAGTTCTGGGGTACATGTGCAGAACGTGAAGGTTTGTTACATAGGTATACACGTGCCATGGTGGTGGACTGCATCCATCATCTACATTAGGTATTTCTCCTAATGCTATCCATCTCCTATCCTCCTGCCCCCAACAGGCCACAGTGTGTGATGTTCCCCTCCCTGTGTCCATATGTTCTCATTGTTCAACTCCCACTTATGAGTGAGAACATGTGGTGTTTGGTTTTTTATTCTTGTGTTAGTTTGCTGAGAATAATGGTTTCCAGCTTCATCCATGTCCCTGCAAAGGACATGAACTCATCCTTTTTTATGGCTGTATAGTATTCCATGGTGTATATGTGCCACATTTTCTTTATCCAGTATATCACTGATAGGCATTTGGATTGGTTTCAAGTCTTTGCTAATGTGAACAGTGCTGCAATAAATATATGTGTGCATGTATCTTTATAATAGAATGATTAATAATTCTTTGGGTATATACCCAGTAATGGAATTGCTGGGTCAAATGTTATTTCTAGCTTTAGATCCTTGAGGAATCACCACACTCTTTTCCATAATGGTTGAACTAATTTACACTCCTACAACAGTGTAAAAGCATTCCTATTTCTCCACATTCTCTCCAGCATCTGTTGTCTCCTGACTTTTTAATGATCACCATTCTAACTGGTATGAGATGGTATCTCAATGTGATTTTGATTTGCATTTCTCTAATGACCAGTGATGATGAGCTTTTTTTCATATGTTTGTTGGCTGCGTAAATGTCTCCTTTTGAGAAGTATCTGTTCATATCCTTTGCCCACTTTTTGATGGAGTTTTTTGTTCTGTAAATTTATTTAAGTTTTTATTGTAGATTCTGGATATTAGCCCTTTGTCAGATGGATAGATTGCAAAAATTTTCTCCCATACCGTAGGTTGCCTGTTCACTCTGATGATAATTTATTTTGCTGTGTGGAAGCTCTTTAGTTTAAGTAGTAGATTCCATTTGTCAGTTTTGACTTTTGTTGCCATTGCTTTTAGTGTTTTAGTCATGAAGTCTTCACCCATGCGTATGTTCTGAATGGTATTGCCTAGATTTTCTTCTAGGGTTTTTATGGTTTTAGGTCTTACATCTAAATCTTTAAACCATCTTGAGTTAATTTTTGTATAAGGTGTAAGGAAGGGAGCCAGCTTCAGCTTTCTGCATATGGCTTGCCAGTTTCCCCGACACCATTTATTGAATAGGGAATCCTTTTCACATCACTTGTTTTTGTCAGTTTGTAAATGATCAGATGGTTGTAGATGTGTGACATTATTTCTAAGGCCTCTGCCCTATTCCATTGGCCTATATATCTGTTTTGGTACCAGTACCATGATGTTTTGATTAGTGTAGCCTTGTAATATAGTTTGAAATCCATGATGCCTCCAGCTTTTTTTCTTTTTTTTTTTTCTTAGAATTGTCTTGGCTATGTGGTCTCTTTTTTGGTTCCATATGAAATTTAAGTTTTTTTTTTCAATTCTGTGAAGAAAGTCAATGGTAGCTTAATGGGGATAGCACTGAATCTATAAATTACCTTGGGTAGTATGGCCATTTTCATGATACTGATTCTTTCTAACCATGAACATGGAATGTTTTTCCATCTGTTTGTGTCCTCTCTTATTTCGTTGAGCAGTGGTTTGTAGTTCTCCTTGAAGAGGTACTTCACATCCCTTGTCAGTTGTATTCCTAGGTAATTAATTCTCTTTGTAGCAATTGTGATTGGGAGTTTACTCATGATTTGGCACTCTTGTAGTCTATTATTGGTGTATAGGAATGCTCGTGATTTTGTATCTTGAGACTTTGCTGAAATTGCTTTATCAGCTTAAGGAGATTTTTGGGCTGAGATGATATTATTTTCTAAATATACAATCATGTCATCTGCAAATAGAGACACTTTGACTTCCTCTTTACCTATTTGAATACCCTATATTTCTTTCTCTTGCCTGATTTCCCTGGCCAGAACTTCCAATACTATGTTGAATAGGAGTGGTGAGAGAGGGCATCCTTCTCTTGTGCCGATTTTCAAAGGGAATGCTTCTAGTTTTGCCCATTCAGTATGATATTGACTGTGGGTTTGTCATAAATAGCTCTTATTATTTTGAAATACATTCTAGCAATATCTAGCTTATTGAGAGTTTTTAGCATGAAGGGTTGTTGAATTTTGCCAAAGGCCTCTGCATCTATTGAGATAATAATGTGATTTTTGTCTTTGGTTCTATTTATGTGATGGATTATGTTTATTGATTTTCATATGTTGAACCAGCCTTGCATCCCAGGATGAAGCTGATTTGATCATGATGGATACACTCCTTGATGTGCTGTAGGATTCAGTTTGCCGTATTTTATTGAGGATTTTTGTATTGATGTTCATCAGGGATATTGGCCTGAAATTTTCTTTTTTAGTTGTGTCTCTGCCAGGTTTTGGTATCAGGATGATATTGGCCTCATAAAATGAGTTAGGGAGAATTCCCTCTTTTTCTATTGCTTGGAATAATTTAAGAAGGAATGGTATCAGCTCCTGTTTGTACCTCTGGTAGAAATTGGCTGTGAAACTGTCTGGTTCTGGACTTTTTTTGGTTGGTAGGCTACTAATTGCTGCCTCAATTTCAGATCTTGTCATTGGTCTATTCAGGGAATTGACTTCCTCCTGGTTTAGTCATGGGAGGGTGTAAGTGTCCAGGAATTTATGCATTTTTTTCTATATTTTCTGTTTTATTTGTGTATAGGTATTTATAGTATTCTCTGATGGTGGTTTGTATTTCTATGGGATTGGTGGTGATATCACCTTTATCATTTTTTATTGCATTTATTTGATTCTTCTCTCTTTTCTTCTTTATTAGTCTGGCTAGTGGTCTATCTATTTCATTAATCTTTTCAAAAAAACCAGCTCCTGGATTCATTGATGTTTTGAAGGCTTTTTTGTGTCTCTATCTCCTTCAGTTCTGTTCTGATCTTAGTTATTTCTTGTCTTCTGCTGGCTTTTGAATTTGTTTGTTATTGCTTCTCTAGTTCTTCTAATCGTGATGTTAAGGTGTTGCTTTTAGATATTTCTTGCTTTCTCTATTGGGCATTTAGTGCTATAAATTTCCCTCTACACACTGCTTTAAATGTGTCCTAGAGATTCTGGTATGTTGTGTCTTTGTTCTCATTGTCTTCAAAGGACATATTTATTTCTGCCTTCATTTTGTTATTTATTTAGGAGCAGGTTGTTCAGTTTTCACGTAGTTGTGTGGTTTTAAGTGAGTTTCTTAATCCTGTGAGTCCTAATTTGATTGCACTGTGGTCTGAGAGATTGTTTGTTATGATTTCTACTCGTTTTCATTTGCTGAGGAGTGTTTTACTTCCAATTATGTGGTCAATTTTAGAGTAGGTGTGATGTGGTGCTGAGAAGAATGTATTTTCTGTGGATTTGGAGTGGAGAACTCTGTAGTTGTCTATTAAGTCCTCCTGGTCCAGAGCTGAGTTCAAGCCCTGGATTTCCTTGTTAATTTTCTGTTTCATTGTAATATTGACAGTGGGGTTTTAAAGTCTCCCACTATTATTGTGTGGGAGTCTAAGTCTCTTTGTAGGTCTCTAAGAACTTGTTTTATGCATCTGGATGCTCCTGTATTAGGTGCATGTATATTTAGCATGGTTAACTCTTCTTGTTGCATTGATCTCTTTACCATTATGTAATTGCCCTTCTTTGTCTCTTTTGATCTTTGATTTAAAGTCTGTTTTATCACAGACTAGGATTGCAGCCCCTGCTTTTTTTTCCTTTCCATTTGTTTGGTAAACCTTCCTCCCTTCCTTTATTTTGAGCCTATATGCATCTTTGCATGTGAGACAGGTCTCCTGAATACAGCACACCAAAGGACTCTTTATCCAACTTGCCAGTCTGTATCTTTTAATTAGGGCATTTAGCCCACTTACATTTATGGTTAATATTATTATGTGTGAATTTGATCCTGCCATTATGATGCTAACTGATTATTTTGCTTTTTAATTGATGCAGTTTCTTCCTAGCATTGATGGGATTTACAATTTGGTATGATTTTTCAGTGGCTGGTACCAGCTGTTCCTTTCCATGTTTAGTACTTCCATCAGGAGGTCTTGTAGGACAGGCCTGGTGGTGACAAAAATCTCTCAGCATTTGCTTGTCTGTAAAGTATTTTATTTCTCCTTTGCTTTTGAAGCTTAGTTTGGCTGGATATAAAATTCTGGGTTGAAATTTTTTTTCTTTAAGAATGTTGACTAATAGCCCCCACTCTCTTCTGGCTTATGGGGTTTCTGCAGAGAAATCCACTGTTAGTCTGATGGGCTTCCCTTTGTGGGTAACCTGACCTCTCTGATTGCTCTTAGCATTTTTTCCTTCACTTCAACCTTGGTGAATCTGATGATTATGTGTCTTGGGGTTGCTTTGAGGAGTATCTTTGTGGTGTTCTCTGTATATCTTGAATTTGAATATTGGCTTGCCTTGCTAGGTTGGGGAAGTTATCCTGGATTATATCCTGAAGAGTGTTTTCCAACTTAGTTTCATTCTCCCCATCACATTCAGGTACACTGATCAAATGTAGATTTGGTCTTTTCACATAATCCCATATTTCTTGGAGGCTTTGTTCATTTCTTTTCACTCTGTTTTTCTCTAATCTTGTCTTCTTGCTTTGTTTCATTGAGTTGATCTTTAATCTCTGATATCCTTTCTATCACTTGATCGATTCGGCTATAGAAACTTGTGTATGCTTCATGAAGTTCTAGTGCTGTGTTTTTCAGCTCCATCAGGTCATTTATGCTCTTCCCTAAACTGGTTATTCTAGTTAGATTTTCATCTAACCTTTTTTCAAGTTCTTAGCTTCCTTGCATTGGGTTAGAACATGCCCCTTTAGCTCAGAGTAGTTTCTTATTACCCACCTTTTGAAGCCTGCTTCTGTTAATTTGTCAAACTAATTCTCCATCCAGTTTTGTTCCCTTGCTGATGAGGAGCTGTGATCCCTTAAAGGAGAAGAGGCATTCTGCTTTTTGAAGTTTTCAGCCTTTTTTCACTGGTTTCTTCCCATCTTTGTGGATTTATCTCGCTTTGTTCTTTGAGATTGGTGACCTTTGGATGGGGTCTCTGAGTGGACATCCTTTTCATTGATGTTGAAACTATTTCTTTCTGTTTCTTAGTTTTTCTTCTAGCAGTTAGGCACCTCTGCTGCAGGTCTGTTGGAGTTTGCTGGAGGTCCATTCCAGATGCTACTTGCCTGGGAATCCCCAATGGAGGCTGCAGAACAGCAAAGATTGCTATCTGTTCCTTCCTCTGGTAGCTTTGTCACAGAAGGGTACCTGCCTGATGCCAGCCAGAGACCTCCTGTATGAGGTGTCTGTCAGCCCCTACTTGGAGGTGTCTCCCAGTCAGGATACACATGGGTCAGTGAGCTGCTTGAGGAGGCAGTCTGTCCCTTATCAGAGCTTGAACACTGTGTTGGAAAATCTGCTACTCTCTTCAGAGCTGCCAGGCAGGAATATTTAGGTCTGCTGAAGCTGTACCCACTACCACCCCTTTTCCCAGGTGCTCTGTCCCAGGAAGGTAGAGGCTTTATTTATAAGTCCCTGATGGGCTGCTGCCTTTTCTCAGAGATGCCCTGCCCAGTGAGGACATCTAGTGAGACAGACTTCCTGCAGTTGTGAGCTGTGTTGAGCTCTGCCCAGTTCAAACTTCCCAGAAGCTTTGCTTATACTGTGGGGTTGAAACCACCTACTTGAACCTCAGCAATGGTGGATACACCTCCCCTCACTGAGCTCTAATGTCCCAGGTCAAGCTCAGACTGCTGTGCTGGCTATGAGAATTTCAAGCCAGTGGGTCTTAGATTGCTGGTCTCTGTGGGGGTGGGACCCGCCCAGCCAGAGCACTTGGCTCCCTGGCTTCAGCCCCCTGTCAAGGGGAGTGAATAGTTTTCTCTCTCTCTGGTGTTCCGGGCACCACTGGGGTATGAAAAAAAAAAACTGCTGTGGCTAGCTCAGTTGCTACCCAAATGGCTGCCCAGTTTGGTGCTGGAAACCTATAAAACCTGGTGGTTGTGTAGGTACTGGAGGGAAACACCTAGTCTGTGGGTTGTGAAGACCATGGGAAAAGTGCAGTATCTGGGCCAGGGTGCTGGGAACAGTCCCTTATGGTTTCCCTTGGCTAGGAGAGGGAGTTCCCTGGTCCCTTGTACTTACTGGGTGAGACAATGCCCCACCCTGCTTTGGCTCGCTGTTCTTGGACTGCACCCACTATCCAACCTGTCCCAATGAGATGAACCAGGTACCTCAGTCGGAAATGTGGAAATCACCCATCTTCTGCATCAGTCTCACTGGGAGCTGCACACCAGAACTGTTACTATTCGGCCATCTTGCCCAGCTACCCCAGTCTTAATTTTTTATCTAACATTACAATCCTTGGTTTTTAATCAGAATATTTAGACCATTTACATATAATGTAATTATTTTATGATTGGGTTTGAATCTATCATCTCAGTATTTGTGTTTTATTTGCCTCATAAGTTTTTAAATATCCTGTCTTTTCTTGGATTAAGTAAACTATTTTATGATTTATATTTTCTCCTTTATTGCCTATTATCCATAACTTGTTTCAGGTTTTTAGTTGTCACCTTAGGCTTTACAATATATGTATTTAACTTACTGTAATCTATATTCAAATAATATATCACTTAGGATATAGTGTAAGAGCCTTAAAACTATATACTTTCAGTTCTCCACCCATCCTTTGTGCTTTTGTTGTCATATTTTACTTCTATATATTTTATAAACTTTACAACACATTGTTATCCTTTGTACTTTAAACAATCAAGAGCTGCATTTTTGGGGGGATTTTGGGGGGGTGCGTGGACAGAGTTTCACTCTTGTTACCCGGGCTTGAATGCAGTGGTGTGATCTCAGCTCACTGCAACCTCTGTCTCCTGGGTTCAAGTGACTCTCCTGTCTCAGCCTCCCAAGTAGCTGGGATTACAGGCACCCACCACCATGCCTGGTTAAGTTTTGTATTCTTAGTAGAGTTGGGGTTAGCTATGTTGGCCAGGCTGTTCTCAAACTCCTGACCTCAGGTATCTGCCTGCTTTGGCCTCCCAAAGTGCTGAGATTATAGGCATGAGCCACTGCTCCTGGTCTCTGTGAGCTGCATATATTTTTTAAAAGTCTCATATTAACCCATTTATTTACCATTCCCTTGTATAGATTCAAATTTCTACCTTGTGTCATTTTCCTTCTGACTGAAGAACTTCCTTTATCATTTTTTGTAATACATATTTAGCTCCAATGAAATCTCTTAGATTTCGTCTGAAAAAGTCTTTATTTTACTTTCATTTTTGAAAGATACATTCAGTGGATTTACAATTGTCAGTTGACAGGGTTTTCTTTGTTTGTTTGTTTGTTTGTTTTCAATACTTTAAAGATGTTGCTACATTTTCTTTTAATTTAAGTAGCTTCTGACAAGGCATCTATTGTTTTTCTTAACTTTGTTCCTCTGTAGAGAATGTGTCTTTTTTCTGGCTCTGGGTTTAAGTCTTTCTCTTTAATACTAATTTGATTATGATGCACCTTAGTGTGGTTTTCCATATGTTTCTTCTTGAGATTTATTGGCTTTTCAATCTTATATTTACGGTTTTTAAGACATTTGAAAGATTTTCAGCCATTATTGCTTCAAATATTTTTTCTACCCCTATATCTGGCTCTTGCCTTTTTTGCAACTCCAATTGCATGTATATTTTACTTACTGATTTTACCTTATAGGTCACTGATACATTGTTCATGTTTTTAAAAATTTGTACTTTTTTCTGTGTGCTTTATATTGGATAGTTTCCATTGTTATAATATTTATATATATGTACATATATGTCACTGATCTACTTTTCAGCAGTGTCTAATCTGTAGCATTTATCAAGTGTATTTTTTAAATTTCTAAGACTATATTTTCCATTTCTACAATTTCCATTTTTTTAAAAAAAATCTTCCATTTCTCCACTCATCAAATTTATTATTTGTGTAAAAACCTACTATAAACCACAACTAAAATTCTAAGCACCCCCTCAACCACCTGAATGGAGTTCCTCCTCAGACAGGGAACTCTTGAAATTTAACTGAAAGACTGGTTAGGACCATGATGGGAAGTGGAGGTCAGACATGCCTCATTATATCTCTCTGGCGTTAACATCAAGACAGACCTTACATCTGATAAGAAACATTTACAGTCTAGTTTCTGTGGAGCCTGTGACCCAAAGGCTTCTGCACAATAAGAACTTTGGTCTCCATAATCCTTTATCCTAACCCAGACATTTTCCTTCTATTGATCCCAGGTCTTTAGATAAACTCAACCGTCAACCAGGAAATGTTTAAATCTACCTGTAACCTGGAAGACCAGACATCTTTGAGTCATTCCGCCTTTCTGGAGCAAACCAATGCATTTCTTGACTGTATTTGCTTGAAGTCTAATGTCTCCCTAAAATGTAAAAAACCAAAAAAGTTTTTCTTATTCTCAGTCAGAGTCACATGAAAACCTTTTAAAGGTTTGAAGATAATTATAGTGGATCAACAGCGTTCTTGTCCCAAGGCTAAAAGATTATCCTCTCCTTATGTCCCTTTTCCAGAATCATCAGTTTTTTCTAGATACTCCTCTGGGGATCCCTTCAGGTTATTGACGTTAAACTTAAAGTAAAGCCTTGATATTGAACTCAATGCTACAGGTCTGTTCTGATATCCAAGCAGAGGAGGATTGTCTTCCTCCATATTCCAGATTCTAGTTAACGTATAAATGTAATGGGGGATTTCATTACTCTTTTTTTGTTTGTTTTTCTCTTTTTTTGTTCCTTTTTTTTATTACTCTTTTTAAAGCAATCTTGTCATATCATAAATCACATCACAATTAAAATAAGCCAAAACCTTTTGCCCTTTCTCGCACATGTAGTAATTTAGTAATTTCTCTTATATCTTATACTTGGGTCTTTGAAGTTTATTTATTCCTATTGAATTTCATCCTCTTCAATAGATTCCATAATTTCTGTTTCTGTTAAGACTGTAGCACTCTAGCTAAAGTTGGTTCCTATTATTTGTGAGCCTTCTGACAACAAAGACACTGACAGCTCAGCAAATTGGCATGTTCTCTTAGTGTCTATTAAGCCTTAATATTGCAGATTGTGCTTTCTCTCTCTCTCTCTCTCTCTCTCTTTTTAATACATCTACAGTGTCTGTGACTGTAGCAGACAAACATTATGTGTTCAATAAATGTTAGTTGTTTGTATACAACCCCAAAAGTTGAGTCATTTGAGACAGGGCACTTAAATTCTTGCCTTCTTTGTGTCTCTTTGCTTATTTTGGGCTGCAATAGATTCATCTTGTTATCCATGGAGGGTGTCCAGGTTCTTAGTGTTTTGAACAAAGGATTGGAAAAAACAAAGCAAGTGTTTTAAACGAAAAATTGTACAAACAAAGCAAGGAAAGAATGAAGCAACAAGAGCAGAGATTTATTGAAAATGAAGGCACACTCCACAGGGTGTGGAGAATGGGCCAGAGCAAATGGCTCAAGGGTCTGGTTACAGAATTTTCTGGGAAAATATCTTCCAGAGGTTTCACATTAGATACTTGGTGTATTTCCTATGTAAATGAAGAGGATTAGGTGAGATTGCAAAGTTATTTCCTTGCTATGTACCATATCCAAATGAAGAGAATGTTTCCTGTCTTAGCTGAAGTAGAGTTACAAAGTTATTTACTTGGTCATAGAAAGTTGGGGTTTTTCTCCTTTTTAGTTTTAGGAAGTCATTAAGTTCTCTGCCCCCAGCCCCTATTCTCCTGCCTCAGTATCAGTGTTAATTTTGCCCTTTCCCATTGGATTGGCATATCTCCTTTACAGAGAATATGGAAGCAAAATAGGAGTTGAGACATTTTATTTTCTTTCTGTTACTCACTCCACTAATTTACATCAGTGAAACAATGTCTTACTTCATCTTCTTGCTCCAAGTACCAGTTTAGAAAGTCTTTTTGGTTGTCATGAACAATATCTGTAAGACTCAACTTTCCTGCATTTAGTCTCATTTGCACTTATGGTCGGTTAAAGATGGCTATAAATTCTTTGTCAATCTACTCACCAAGAAGTGGGCTCTTGTTCTCAAAGTCTTTAAACTGGGCTAGATTTGTAACTTCTTGAACCATTGGGGTAGGGCCCCCATGGAGGTGATAGACTACAAAACTGGAGACAGCTTGGGTCTCTGAAAATCTATGGAGCAGATTCATATACCCTCCAATCTTCAGACTTTCTGTTTAGGGTGAAACTAACTTCAATTTTAAATTGAAGTGGGTTAAAACCACTGTCATTTTGAGTACCTGTTTCATGTAGCTAAACTTAATATTAATGAGTAAAACTCTGTTCATTAAACTTAGCTCCATAGTAGCAATGTCTTAAGTGAATTTTTTTAAAATGTTATTGTTGTTCTTTTATGTTTGTTATTCAAATATTAAAGAGGAGATGGAGATGGGATGTACAGTTAACTTAAACCAGAATCCAGCAAGTTTTTTTTTTTTTGAGACGGAGTTTCACTCTTGTTACCCAGGCTGGAGTGCAATGGCGTGATCTCGGCTCACCGCAACCTCCGCCTCCTGGGTTCAGGCAATTCTCCTGCCTCAGCCTCCCGAGTAGCTGGGATTACAGGTGTGTGCCACCATGCCCAGCTAATTTTTTTATTTTTAGTAGAGACGGGGTTTCACCATGGTGACCAGGATGATCCTGATCTCTTGACCTTGTGATCCACCAGCTTCGGCCTCCCAAAGTGCTGGGATTACAGGCTTGAGCCACCGCGCCTGGCCATGTTTTTAAAATATAACACAAGTCTAAAACACAAGACTTAAGGTATACTGGAAGAGTTCTCAGGGTTTGCTAATTTTCTTATCAGAGAATTATTATTTTTATGTCTTATTTTCTTTTAATCTTTCTCTGGAAACCATCAAATCTTATGTAGATCCCTAGACCTAGTAATACAAGAATGCAGTGCTACATTTTCCTCAATTATTTATTACGTGTCAGCCTTGTTCTCTAACAATACAATAAATACTATGAAGAGAGAGAAGATATACTTTCTGTAGTATTCGTGGTACTGGAAACCATGAGAGGCACACAATAACACTGAATTATGTTCAAATGTCTGATACAGAGTCATTGAAAATAGTGTCATTAATTTGGCTTATATATTTTCCTTTAAATATCTCTTTATAATGCTTAATGACTTTTGTTTATGACCTATGCATCACTTTTAGAAATCCTTTTCAAAAAGATTGGTCATTTTCCATTTGAATATTTATCTGTGATACATGCATCATTTTTTCTCTATGATTGTGAACATTGTAAATATCTACATATGTACAAGTCATAATATGTTGAATAAAAATTATATTGTTTTGAGAAGAATTACATTTATCTAAGAATTTTTTTAAATCTCATAAAAAGTCATACACTTTTAAAGCTCTAAGCAACATTAATAATGTAATCTAACCTCTGGGTATTACAGACAATAAAATGAAAAGTCAGTATTTTTTCCTCCAGCCAAATAAAATATATGGTTATGAATATGTGGAAATCAGGCTGGGCGCAGTGGCTAATGCCTGTAATCTCAGCACTTCGGGAGGCCAAGGCAGGCAGATCATTTGAGGTCAGGAGTAAACCAGTCTGGCCAACGTGGTGAAACCCTATCTCTACTAAAAATACAAAAATTAGCCAGGTGTGGTGGTGGGCTCCTGTAATCCCATCTACTCAGGAGGCTGAGGGAGGAGAATCACTTGAGCCTGCGAGGCAGAGGTTGCAGTGAGCAGAGACCATGCCACTGCACTCCAGCCTGGGAGACAGAGCGGGACTCCATCTAGAAACATAACAAAAGAATATGTGGAAATCACATTCCAACCAAAATTACGCATCATTTAAAAAACATTTATGTATGTAATTCTGACTTCTTTAAAATCTCAATAGAATGAAAAAAGAGAATTTGAAAAATAAAATGATAAATGCTTTGGGTTGTTTCTGGGAAACACTAAATAATCAGATCCTGCCTTATGATTAATATGTTAAAATGTACTGCAGTAATGTTCGTGTTATGGCAAAAATAAGCTTAACTCATTTTTCTGGTTATTATTCATAATTTTTTAAAATAGCCTCATGTCAACCATTGGTGGTGTGCTAGAAGGTATTGTAGAAGGATATAGTCACTATGTTTGAGGTCAGTTAAAATAAAATTGTTCTACAGATTTCAGACTAATAGATGTAGGTGATAACAGTCAGTAGAAATATAAAAAGTAAAAAAGTTTAATGTCTGACGCTTTCCCTTTTACAGTAAAATATTTTCCTTCATGAGAGAATATTAGAATTACTAGATTGCAGTTTCGAAATTCATTCAAACAAGAGATTGCAATTGGGGGCTGCAAGGATTAAAAATTAGGTTACTCTCTTCCCCTCTCTTTGAGGCCACAAGGAATTTTGATTCAATTTCTCTCTGTGCCTCCGCTTTATTTCTACCATCCTGCTTCCCCACCCACATCTCTAGGGCCTTCCTCTGCTCCAATTGCATAAACTTTGTCCCAGCTGCTCCACACAGTATTATCCTGACCCTTGTGTTAGTAATGTTGATAATAATTATAATTGATATTTGCTAAACTTTTATTATGGCATTGAGGTAAGCACTGTGTATTATCTTATTTAATCATGGCACCTTCCCTGCTAAGTAAGTACTATTATTATCTTCACTTAGCAAATGAGGTAACTGAGGCTGAGAGATGTTTAATAACTTATGCAACATCACACAGCTAATAAACAGTAGGGTCAGAACTCAAACCCAAAGTCTGTTTGATTGCAAAGTCCATACTATGCTGCTTCAAAATGCCACAGAAAAATGCATAAAATAGCAGGCTGCAAGTGAGTTCTGCCAGGGTTGAAGAACAAGAGGCTAGTGGCAAAAATGCTGGGGGTAGGATGGGATGTGTGGTTAAAAACTGTGGTCCACCTGGGCAGAGTGGCTCACACCTGTAATCCTAACACTTCAGGAGGCCAAGGTGGGCATGTCACCTGAGGTCAGGAGTTCAAGATCAGCCTGAACAACATGGCAAAATCTTGCCTTTACTAAAAATACAAACATTAGCCAGGTGTGATGGCATACTTCTTGGGAGGCTAAGGCAGGAGAATCAGTTGAGCCAGGGAGATACAAGTTGCAGTGAGCTGAGCTTGTGCCACTGCACCCCAGCCTGGGTGACAGAGTGATACTCTGTTTCAGAAAAACCACCCCCTCCCACCAAAAAAAATGAACAAACAAACGAAAAACTGTGGTCCAAGACTAGGTACTGCAATAAAGACAAAACTTAATTCTAAACTTCCTGGCAGTGAAGTAAAAAAGGAATCATAATGTTTTTCCCCAAATTGTGTCTTTTATTGCCTTTGTTGTTGTTGTTTCTTATTATACCTTAAGTTCTGGAGTACATGAGCACAACGTGCAGGTTTGCGACATAGGTATACATGTGCCATGGTGGTTTGCTGCACCCATCACTCCATCGTCTACATTAGGTATTTCTCCTAATGCTATCCCACCCCTATACCCCCACCCCCTGCTATCCCTCCCCAACACCCCACCTTCCAACAGGACCTTGTGTGTGATATTCCCCTCCCATTCATAAGTTAGTGTTGAACAATGGAATCATTTTTTTTTTTTGAAGAGCAGCTGTGTTTATCTAGTTGAAAAAAAAAAGCATAATAAAATTTTATTTATTCAAACTTTCTGTTTGAGCATGTACCACGCCTACTATTTTGAGAGACCGTGGGAATATAAATAATAAGACCAAGTGTCCTGCTTTCCAAGAACTTATAGATTAAGTGACAGATAGCTCTGTAAACAGACAATATGGATATAGTGTGATAAGGCAAGTGTTGGTGT